GCACAGATAGCCCATCGTATAGCCTTATGCTTAACTCTAAAACAAAAAACCATAAGGACTATCCTATGACACTTTTTATGAACACTTCTCTGTCAGTCCCATATAAACACTTCTCAGTCAGTCCTATATAAACACTTCTCAGTCAGTCCTATATAAACACTTCTCAGTCAGTCCTATATAAATTACTACAACTACTACATGACATTTCTCAATGAATTCAATAGGGACTATTCCAATACACAGAATATGTTTTATTCATCGTGTCACAGGTCACGTATTGTTATATGTCTCTTTGTTTCTCTTATTCGACGATTCTCATTCAAACTGAAGGAATAATTTTGAAATAAGATACTTCAAATGGAATACAATGAAGAATGAATAATATTGTTAAAATCAATATTTTTTGCGATGACTAACACGTTCGTAGTGTTTCTTTTGTAAAGTTGTTTTATAGCGCCATCTATCAGAAAGTGTATAAAATTTCATTTTTTGTATAACACTAGGACGTGGGTTGGCCTAGTGCTCTTTATTTCGGAGCTGACGATCCAGGTGTGAATTCGTACGACACAAATCATTCTCCACACTTTAAACTGCATATGCGTTATAAGAGTAACGGTCAATTTCCTAGCGCGGTGGGTGGTAGGGTGTTGCTGAGTTGCTGCGTTTCCCTCCGGTCATTAGTTCAAAATTAGGGATGGCGGCAGATAGTCTTAGTAGCTTTGTCATATATACAAGATAAAATGACGTTTTTGTGTAAGTGTCAGTTTGGCTTCGTCGCAAGTATAATTATACTTTCCCGTAATTATCTCGTTTTCCTGCTTTTTTATGATAACATTTGTGGATTATCTGTCTCACCAACAATTCCGACTTTTATATGAAGTCAACAAGAAAATGTAAGCGTGTTTACTTATCTAAAGCTGTAAAAAGAAAAATAAAGCAAACATGTAGTTGGAGAAACATTAAGATGGTACTCATCTGACTCTTGATATCAAATCTTTTTTTTCCAATAAACTGGGACCCCCAGTGGTTCAGTGGTGAGACCAAAGTTCTATAACGCTAAAAACCGGGTTTCAATACCCGTGATGGGCACAGCACAGATAGCCTATTGTGTAGCTTCGTGATTAACAATAAATAGACAAACAAACCAAAAGTCTGGTCACGCAAACTACATTTATCCACTCGGTTTCTACTTGAACTACTTTTGATACAGATATCCAAAGCCTTTGTTTTACATCAGATGTCAACTACTTTTGATACAGATATCCAAAGCCTCTGTTTTACATCAGATGTCAACTACTTTTGATACAGATATCCAAAGCCTCTGTTTTACATCAGATGTCAACTACTTTTGATACAGATATCCAAAGCCTCTGTTTTACATCAGATGTCAACTACTTTTGATACATATATCCAAAGCCTTTGTTTTATATCAGATGTCAACTACTTTTGATACAGATATCCAAAGCCTCTGTTTTACATCAGATGTCAACTACTTTTGATACAGATATCCAAAGCCTCTGTTTTACATCAGATGTCAACTACTTTTGATACAGATATCCAAAGCCAAGTTCATTGTGAAACCTTTCACTTAAGAAAGTGTTGTTCATCGCTGTAAGTTTCACAGTTTAATATGTCTTGGTTTTACCAGTTCGAATACTGATGAAGAGTTTGTCCCACAACATATGGCCGGGCGTGGCTGAGTGGTTAACGGTCCGGACTGTGAATCTGAAAGGCCATTATTCGCATCTAGTTGCAAATATGCGTTCTTACACGTTGGAACTATGGGTGAGTTATAACAATGACAGTCAATTCTCACTATTCGATGTAAGAGGACCAAGAGTTGGTGATATGTACTGTTGACTAGCTACCTTTCCTCTAGTTTATATGTCCAAAATTATGTACGGCTAGTGTATCTTGTCCTTGTGTAGCTTTTCGCGAATTTCCGAAACAAACACTGAGTACATAAGATACATTGCTTTTAAATATTTAATACAACATTCACTATTACTGAACATTTTTTAAGATAAATACTCGCGTTTAGACAGGTTTCTGTAAACAAAAATCAAAATTAAATCGTAGCAATAAAACATTGGTAATGCATATTTAGGGTTTCTAAAGTTACGTGGAAAAAGCGGACAAACTTAATGAGATTCGGTCTGTATTTCAAGTGATGCACTCGATATACGACTTGTCACAATTCTACCTCTTATCGGTAACCCTGGACAAGGGCAAATCGAAAGAATATGACTAGGCTTAATATAAATATAGAATTACTGTGTGAGTAAAAGACATTTTTAAACACCATAAAAGTGGTTCTTCTGGTTTTAAAACGTAATTTAACCTCAAGGCTCTTGCTGAAAAACACCAAGTAGGTAATAAACCTGGTTGCTCAGCTATAATCTGAGGGTGAAACTTTGCTCAAAGTCGTAAAAATAAACACAAAAAACTTGAGTACAATATGATTAAAACGAGCCTTTGCGGTTATATTGTAAATAATAAAAAGACTTGCAATTGATTACATTTAGGGATGAAATATTGCGGACTGCAGAGAGGTTAAACAGTCATTACAGGATCGTTGAAAACGAGTTTTAAATAACTATAAAAGACATGAAATATTTCGGACTACAGAGAGGTCAAATGGTCATTATAGAGTCGTAGAAAGCGAGTTTTTGAATAACTAGAAAACACGCAAACAAACTAGAAACCTGGTTTTCAAACATGTGGACTTCTGTCTTTACTTAATCGAAACTCGTAAATTCATGTTAATGTGATGTTTGTATATCTAAAGAATATCCTTGAATCTGCCATAAACGTGTTCACTTTATTTTATTGATATTTTAAACCACAACAACTATTGCACGAGCTTCTCAGAAGGTCACATGTGGTGGCAGAAAATAATCAATCAACCCCGACCTGCATGCTAGAGATATAAGTTTCATTTGTGACTAATATTGGGGCTTACAATAACTACAACGGGAGACTCACATTTAAAGTGTCGTATGTGAATCGGTATGAACTGTAGTTTGATCATGTACACATTTATAAGAGAATCAGCACATCGTGTATGACACCACAAAACAAGGAATTGCATTAAAACTTTGTTTCTATTTTGTTAATGCGCAAAGCTGTAACCATTTGAAGGGATCTAGCCTGCGCTCTGAGCTCTTGTGCTTTGTCGCTGTGTCACTGGAGAGGGAGGGGCACTTTCTTGACTAAACATTTTCATGGTAGACATTTCTGTTACGTGCAGTTAGGGCAATTTTATGCTTCTGGTTTATCACAAAATACACTTGCGCCCTCTCTTGTCCTCCTACCTTACTTT